TCACAACTGGAAGGACTGCGGACATTGAGTGGGTAGAGGCCAGGGGAGGCCCCTGGGCACCCTGCAGAGCACGGGGCAGGAACGCTGCAGCCCCCAGGTGCTCCCGATGGCCGCAGCTGAGAAAATGTGGGGAAGTGAAGGAGGAGCAAGGGGAGCCGGGAGCGGTGGCACACGCCTGCAGCCCCGGCGGCTCCGGAGGCAAATTCCCACCACATTATTTTTTTTTCCCATCCTGATTTTATTTTTTTAAGAAGGTGGTCTTTGATTTTACTTTTATTCTTTAGTTTTACTTGTAGATGGACACATGCCTTTTTTTCTTTATTTTACGGGGTGCTGAGGATCGGACCCAGGGCCCCGCACGTGCCAGGCAGGTGCCCCGGCCCCCACCCCCCACCTCATTTCCTTTATAGTATTTTCCAGGCACCAACCCTGATGTGGGGGGCGTGGAATAAGTTTGGTGGGAATTTGGGAGCAGAGAAGAACCCTGTTACTCCTCTGGGGAGACTTCATTTCCCTCCTGGGATAGGAATGGCCCCATGGGAGGTACGTGGCCCTGACCCACCGCAGAGACGGGCTTTCTTGCTAGGTCACTGGGCAGAGAAGGAATCGAGGACAGACAGGTCACCAGGTCCTGGTCCCCCTCACCCCTGTTCCTTCCCTTGCCTGTTCATGGTGCTCTGCTCAGAAGCCTCCAGGATTCCTCAGCAAAGTGGGTTTCTTAATCCCAGAACCTGCCTGGTTCTTTAGATGGTGAAAGGGACCTTTCAGATGTGACTCAATGAGGAATTGCAAAGTGGGGACATCATCCTGGATTATCCAGGTGGACCTGGCATCTTTGTAGGGGTCTCCTATGAGTCCAGGTAGGAAGATCAGGGTTGGAAACAAGGGCTATGAGGATGGAAATAGGGGCCCGAGGGATGTGGGGCCGCGGCCAAGAAATGCGGCAGCCTCCAGACAGTGGGAGAGGCCAAAAATCCAAATGTCCCCAAAAGCCTCTTGAAGAAACAGCTTGATCAACCCCATTTAAAACTTTTCAGCCTCCAAAACTGGAAGACAATACATTTGTGTTGTTTCAGGCCACTGTGTTGGCGGTAATGTGTTAAAGCAGCGGTGGGAAACTAATGCAGACCTGAATGCAGTGGACACCCCGAGAGTTATTGGGGAAGAACATTTCAGGTGGGAGCAATGGTAAGTGCAAAGGCCCTGAGGCACAAAGTCAAGATAGCGTAGAAAGGGCTGTAATGGGCAACACACAGGGTGCTCTGGGAACCCACGGGCCCACCTGTGCATCTGAGACTGGGTCACCATGGAGGACCTCACAGAGGAGACAATGCTTTGCACTGAGGCTTCAAGGACTGTCTCGTAAGTGCAAGTCACCTGGGTTCAGATCCTAGCTCTGCTCTCCCAGCTTTAGAGAGGGCTGACCATAGTCCCCAACGGCACTGATGTGAGTTAACCCGTGCAAAACCCTGGGAGTCTGTGTCACGTGGAAGGCTTTGTACCTGTGCCAGGTGTGATGAGGAGGGGATGCTGATTCCCACCCAGGAGTTCATCACGTAGAGGAGACCGGGAAAGGCGTTTGGGGTTCAGGGAGCAAGGGACGAGGTCAGGGGTGTGGCTGTCCATTCTGATGCATCCTCTAATCCATGATTGAAAGTAGCTCACTCCTCCCTTACTCTCCCTTCTCTCCCAGGGTCCAGGACTGTCCTGTCACCCCTGTCCTGGAGGACAGGTTTCCAGCCAGGCGGTGGCTGAGAGCAGCCCTTGGTCACCCGTGCTGCTTGGGACGGGCTCCTCAGGCTCCGTGGGATGCAGCCCCACCGGCGAGGGGAGGCCCAGGGACTAGGAGGGCGTCTGCTGGACATTCCATGTCCAGAGGCAAGCCGTGACGGTGGCCCTGCTCCCTGGAGGCCGGCTTGGCCTCGTGGTCACCTGTCCACCCTGTGCAGACACATTTGCCTGAGCATCACTGTCGGCCCTGGGGCGGTGTCAGGTTTCTCTAGGTAAATGCCGAGCTTCTGCCCTCGGGGGTTCTTGACAGGGTATGGAAATAGGGACAGAGGA